AGACCTTTGTGCTCTTCTAGCTTCTTTTGCAAGGCCGTTAGTATCAACTTGTTTGCTGCTTCTGCTTGTCCATTGCTCTGCGGGTGGCAGACTAAGGCACTTGCATATTTGGTGCCCATTTCCTTCAAGTAGTCTTGGTGTTATAGTCAAATTGGCACCCATGATCAAAGACTATGCACTACGATACCCCGAACCTTGTTATGATGTTCTTCCATATGAACGTTCTAACTTGAACCACTTTTATGTACTTGGTAGGCTCAACTTCAATCCACTTGGTTAAATAGTCTACTACCACTATGAGATATTTCCTGCCCGCTAACCCAGTGGTGAAGGGTCCCAATATGTCCTTTCCCCACTTAGCAAACAGGATTGGGCTGAGAATCGAAGTCAGATCGTTTGCTGGCTGGTTTATGACTAGGGCATACATTTGGCACTTTTCGCATTTTTTGACATATGCCAATGCATCCTGTGTTAGAGTTGGCTAGTACGCTCCCCGTCTGAGCACTTCCCCTCCCAAGGCCTTTCCACCAATGTGGTTGGCACATATTTATGAGTGTGCTTCTTCCATGATCTTCTCTTGCTCCCACTCTGAGATACACCTTAGCAGTGGTTTTGAGAAGCCTTTCTTGTTGAGCTCTCCGTTCATTACCACATACCAGTTGGCATCCTTCTTGACTTTCTTGGCTTGCACCGCGTCATCTGGCAGCGAGCCATGAATCTTATAGGTTAGTATGTCTATGAACCATGCTCGTTGTTGTTCAATGCAGTTCACCTGCTCGTTTTCTACAATGTTGCTCTCCTAAAGGACTTCTAATATGACTGTCCTTGTGAGGCTCTACAGGGTGGAACTAGCTTATTTTGATAATCCATCAGCTGGGGAATTTTCCGCTCTAGGGAACAAGTCTATCTGAAAATGCATTAGCTGAGCCACTAACTCTTTCACCTTGGTTGTATATCTCAACATTGTGGGCTTTCTATCCTCATACTCCCTCTTCAGATGGCTGGCGACCAATTGTGAGTCAGTCTGCAAGTGCACTTTTCTGGCTCCCGATGCGATGCTCATTCTCAGGCCTGCCAAAGTTGCTTCATACTCTACCTCGTTGCTTGACGCCTTAAATTTGAACTTGATGGCGTTCTCAAATATATTTCCCTCTGGCAATGTTATTATGATTCCTGCTCTACTTCCTGTTTGGGCTAAAGATCCATCCACTGCCACTTTCTAGATTCCAATTTTATCCTCTTTCTCCTCGTAAGAGGCTTCTACTATGAAGTCTGGTAGGGCTTGAGCTTTGATGGTTGTCCTAGATTTGACCTCAAATTCATATTCATAGAGCTCTATGGCCCATTTCAGGAGCTTACCTGAAGCGTCCATTTTTTGTAAGGCTTTCTCCAGTGGGTGATTTGTGAGAATTTAAGTTGTGTGCGCGTCAAAATAAGGTTTTATCTTTCTTGTTGACGTTACCACCGTGAAGGCTAGCTTCTTTACCAGCAGGTATCTCTACTCAGCCTCAGTCAGCACGTGGCTCACAAAGTACACTAGCCTCTGCTGTTTTTGTCTTTCGACCAGGAGAACTGATGCAATTGTTTAAATTGAGGCAGAGTTATACAGCTGTAGTTTTTCGCTTAGCTCCGGGATGATCATGGTTGGGAGCTTAGTCAGATGCTCCTTAATCCCCTCAAAAACTTCTTTTTCCGCTGCTCCCCACTTGAACTCCTTGTTCCCTTTTAACAGCTGGTAGAATGGTAGGGCTTTATCGGCTGACTTGCTGATGAACCAGGTTAGTGCTGCCATTCTTCCTGTTAGTCGCATGATGTCTTTAGTGCACTTGGACTCTAGGAGGCTTAAGAATGCTTCCATGTTTTTCGGGTTAGCATCAATTCCCCTCTCACTAACCAGGAAGCCTAGGAACTTCCTAAAGCTTACCCCAAAAACACATTTCTTTGGGTTGAGCTTGATATTATACTTGTTCAGGGTGGAAAATGTTTCTTCGAAGTCCATGATATGCCTTGCCTGTGTGAGTCGTCAACGTATACTTCAACATTCCTGCCCTTCTGGTGCATGAACACCCTATCCATTGTCTTTTGAAAAGTAGCCCATCATTGTTAAGCTCGAAGGGAATAGCTATGTAATTGTACACTCCCCCTTCGGTGATGAATGCGGTCTTCTGTCTGTCTGGCCTGTGCAGGCTGATTTGATGATACCTAGATAAGGCATCCGTGAAGCTTAGTGATATGTCCAATTTATATAGTGTTTTACCCCCGTCCCATGGTCATAATTAGTGGTGTTTTTGCCTCTTTAGGGCCACTTTTATTACTAATTTTTGTTTTCTAGTGTTTTTGTAGTTTTGCTTGAGTTTTGTAGGAAATTGCACACTTGGAGCGTTTTTCGGGTTTTTCACAAAGCAACTACGAGCATTAGGAGTACACGACCATCCTTGAAGCCCAGGACTGGTGAGAGCCGGTGATTAAGGGCTCGGTACGTGATACCGGGGCAATTGGATCGAGTAATCAAGACCCGAAGAGGAAATCCGGATTGGGCCGAGGAATCGAGCCCAATCGAAATCCAAACCTCGAAGAAGAAGCTGGGCCCGATCGGGCAGGCATACGCCCGATCGGGCGGGCATGCGCAAAGCAGCATCAAGAGAAAAGGCGCGCCCGATCGGGTGAGCGTAGGCTCGATTGGGCGCAACACACCAGCAAGGGCGTAGAAAAAAAAAGGCGGGCCTGATCGGGTGGCCCTTCGCCCGATCGGGTGCGTGTTTTAGGGACCTGATTAGTTTTCGTTTAAGGTTTTGTTTTTGGGATGTTTAAGTACGATTTTTGTACGTAATTTTGATTACCTTCTCTTTTAGATTTTCTCTCTCTACTTAGAATATTTTCTCTCTCTTAAACTCTCTCAACATTGTTCTTAATTACATTCATTAATCCAGATTTCTTTTGGTAACAATTTCTTCTCTTTTTATTTCAGTTATTTTATTTAATTCTTTCATTATGTCTTGCTTTATTGATTTGATTAGTTTAGATTTAATTATGCTTGAGTAGTTTTGTTTCTAGGGTTTATGGAGATCTAATAAATAATATGAATGGGTAAATTTGTGATTGTTGATTATCAATGCTTGATTAATTTCCTATTGATTGATTTAATGCTATGCAATTAGGTTTGGCCAGATTTAATTGTATGAGTTTAGCAATATTAATTCGAGATTCGACAGATGAGAATTGATGTTTAGGCTTAGTTTCAATAGGCGGACTAATTTATAAATGGTTAAGTCGAGATTCGACAGATGAGATTTAATACCGGTAAATTAACTCTGTGATTATAATACATAGCGAAAGCCCTTTATAATCTAATTAATTTTTGCTTGATGATTGCTTATTATGATTTGCCCTGGAATATTGTTTATTAGTGAACCTATGCCCTAGGTTTCCCTTTATTGATTTATACCTTTTTATTCCTTTCCTGCTCGTACTTTTAGTATTTAATTACCTTTTTACAATAAATTGCTACTTGATAATTTAAATTGCATTTAATTAATTAGGAGTAAATTGATTTGTTTCCCTATGGTTCGACCTTTCTTCCCTATCTACATAGCTAGTGGATTTAGGTTTATTTTTTATTAGATGAATACGACTTGAGCCTGTCACTTAGCAGGGCATGGCCGCTGGTTGAGTCTACCAGCTGGTCAATTCGTGGCAGTGGGTAACAATCCTTTAGACATGCTTTGTTGAGATCTGTGAAATCAACGCACATCCTCCATTGGTCGTTTACCTTTTTTTACCATGACCACATTGGCCAGCCACTCCGGGTAATCACAAGGTTCTATGAACCCTACTTCCAGAAGCTTGTCCACCTCTTCCTGGATTACTTGATTTTTCTCCGTGGAGAAGCTTCTTTTCTTCTGCCTAACCAGCTTGATGTCCTCTTTCACATTTATCCTGTGAACCATGACTGCGGGGTCAATTCCTGGCATCTCATCTGCTGATAATGCGAAGATGTCTTTGTTCTTCCTCAGCAACTCTATGAGGTGTACTCCTACTCCAAGGTCGATGTCTTTTCCAATTTTTAGTGTCCTTGAATTGTCGCCTTTTGTTAGCTCGACAGTTATATGCTCCCCGCTGGGAAGTGGTCTAGCCATTTCTTCTTTTGCGGGCTTGAAGTTTTCCATAGCTAACTTCTGCTTATCTTTCTCCCTGTGATACTCTTCTCGCTTCCTCTTCCTTGATTTCCTTTCAGCATGCTTAGTGGACCTTGGCTCTTAGCCTGGCTACTGCTTGGTCCTAGCAGGCTGTTTTAGGGCTGTTATGTAACATAGTTGACTTGTTTTCTAACATCCCCTGATTTTTGCTGACCTCCCTTTATTGGTCGTGTATGCCATGGTAAGGTGGTAGGTGAAACCACCCCGTCTATCTTATGGATAAGCGGTCTTCCCATGATCACATTGTAAGGTGATGGAGAGTCTATCACCAAGAATTCTGCTCGGACATCACGTCTCCTTGACCTTTCTCCCACCCGAATTGAAAGTTCGGTTATACCCTCAAGGATCATCCTAGACCCATTAAACCCGGTGACCTCATAGGTCACTCTTTTTAGGTCCTTCTTGTCCAGCCTCACCTCCTTGAATGCGCTGATGTATATGATGTTGGCTGAGCTGCCACCATCTATCAGTACTCTATCCACCTCCAAATTTGTGATTCTCATTGTTATTACAAGTGGGTCGTCATGAGGGTAGATTATCCTCTTGGTCATATTCATCTAATGTAGCTCGTGGCTACGGGGAAAAAGGCGGCCACCGGCGCTTCTTATTGTAATTGATCTGGTGTGTCATTGCTTGTAAGTCAGCCCGCGCTTTATTCACGGTCCCACCATGCACTGGTCCCCCATTGATTACATATACTCGACCCTCTAGCTTGTTGTCTCGGTCTCTACCCTCAGCTTGACCTCGGTGACTTCCTCTACGGTCATGGCCAGACCTATATCTTCTTCTTTTCTCCTGGAAGGTTCAGAGTGTTGCTTGAATTAATTCAGATATCCTCTTTGGGCTAAGTCCCTCTATGTTGTCTTTCAAGTGGGTGCATTCATCAGCGGTATGGCCGTGGTCCTTGTGGAAATCACACCACTTACTTGGGTCGTGATTTCTCTTCACCATCCTAGGCGGTCTCTGCCATTTGTTATCAGCTTTGATCACGCTGAAAATATGAGATCTCGAATGAGTGAGTAGGGTGTAGTGGTCAAACCTCCCTAGTCTGCCTCCTCGTTTCTGATCCGACCTTCTCACCTCGACCACTCTGTATGCATCCCTTCGACCTTGCTCAGCTCTGTTGGGCTGATCCACCTCGGTTGTATTCTCAACCCGGGTGAATTCTGCCCGCTTAACTGGCTCGATAGGTGCTTTCTTGCTCAACATTGCCCTATCCGTTTCATCTGCTTTTATGAAATCGTGCGCTTTTCCCACCGCTTCAGCCAGTGTTTTGAGACTCTTCCGCCCCATATAGGCTCTAAATGGTGAGCCTGGTAACAAACCGCTCTGCATTGCTAGCAGCGCTACCTCTTGGCTGATGTTCGGGATGGTTGTTGCTTCTTTGTTGAACCCGGTGATGAACTCTCTTAGAGGTTCATCTTTTCCGTGAACCAACGACATCAGCTCGGTGGTCATTTTGGTTTGATCCACCAAAGTGACAAAGTGCTCCATGAAAATTCTCTTCAGCTGGTTATAAGAGTATACAAATCCTTTTGGAATAGCTCCATACCACTCTGCTGCAAATCCTTCCAAGGTAGGCGGAAATGCCTTACAACATACTGAGTCCGTCATGATGTAAAGCATCATGTGGTTTTCAAATGCTGACACATGGTTCTTAGGTGTGGTGGTTCCATTGTACTTGCAACTGGGCATTTTTATTTTCTCCATCGGCTCTTCCAGAATCTCCCTGCAAAATGGGGAATCATCTAGAATGACCTGAATTTGCGCTCGCTTCTTCCTGTCCAGACTTGGTCCTCGCTCAGAGGTCGGTGCCTTCTACGAGCGACTCGTCTCTCCAGGCTGCCTCGTTTACACTTTATTCTCGGTTCAGATTCCGAGCTTCTAGTTCCAACACCTTCTTCCTCAGTTGGACTAGCTCTTTCTGCTCCGGGGTAAGAGTTTGGGTGTTGTCTTCTTTACAGTTGGCTATGCAGCTGTTGCTACTGGTGGCGAGCTCGTCCCCTTACCGAAATTGGTAAGGACCGCCGTCATTGCTGACAGCTGCTCCTTACTGCACTTAAAGAGGTTCTGTAGAATGGCTGGCATATTGCCGGGCTGCGGTTTCTAAGTCACTGGTGTTAAGATGATGGGTTTATTGTTCGTGCCTGTCAATGGAATTGCGAACTTAAAAGAAGAAATGGATCCTATCGGATCAACTAGTTTCGTCGCCGCCTTAGTTGCAGCAGACGTTGATCCGGTGGGATTGGATTTTTATGAGATGGTTGATTTGGGTTTTTTTAGTTGATCCTTTTGGATCAAGAGTTACTGATGGTGTTTTTTGTGGTGTTTGGTTAGCGTCACTAGCCTTAGATACGGGTGTTTGCATAGCTTCCTCTTTGGCCATGGCGGTTCATCAACTAGTCCCTTGCTCATCTGGTGAACCTCAGGTTAGATGATCCTTCCCCTCCTTCTAGCGCCAATTGTTCCAGGTGTGGATCTAAGGGTTCTGCTGGCACGAGCTGGGTCCCGTTGATGACCTACTCAAGGTAACACACGTGAACTGCCCTCGGGGGTAGCTCGAGGAACCCCCCTTCGATGCCTAAGTTAGAATGTGTTTAGAGAGAGAAAGTGTACTTAGTGAGATATAGGGAGTGTAATAACTTGTGTGTCTAACCTCTTTTTCGTTGTACTTTTCCCTCTATTTATAGGTGTACGATTTCCTTTGTGGAGAGTCTCACCTAGTTAGCCCTGCAGGCTGACTCTATCGGGCTGGTGAGCCCCTCTAGCTGTTCTTCCAGCGATGAGTACGCACCCTAGGGGCCGGATTATAGTTCAGCGGGAGCTACCCTATACAACTAGCCCCTTAAGAGGTGGTATGAGGTCGCTCATGCCGGCTCTTGTCTGTACGGTGAAGCCTTTCCGCCTGAGCCTAGTTGGGAGGAATAGCTCAGCAAGAGCTATCCCCTTCACTAGTATTTGCATAATTATGGTCATGTCTTGAAGACGGAGGTTCTTGGAAGACGGAACCATGAAGTTACAAGAGTTGTCCCTTGAAGACTCAAAGGGTCATGCTAGTTGTCAAATGCATCTTTATTTATGTTTTTAGATATATATTTATGATTATTTATATATATGAATTATATGTTAGATGCATATTTAGGATTTCGAATGTTGTGATGTTTAATTAAGTTCACTTAAATCAACCAACATAGAAACAACACTTATCGACCTATTGAGAGTAGTGATAGGCTACGCCAAAGCGAGGCACACTATTACTCCATAGGATTCATAAGGCATACCGGGTATGCAAGTTGGTTTTGGTTGTACTCAACGATATGAGTGATGGAGTCCTAACATGTCGTGGCAAACTGGATAAATTGTTGAGAGAGCATTAGATGCGACGATTTATCCAACCAAGAATGGATTGGAGCCATTAGCAAAACGTTGCTTACCTTAGAAGATTGAGTGTTAAGACAAGTTAAAGCATGCTTAACCACTCTTTATTTCTTTGGATCTAAGAATCGCCTTATTCTCGCCAAATGGGGACAAATTTAATGCGTGGATAAGACGCTTAATAAGATTGAAATTTGCATGAATGCTTTTAAATTTCAAACTTATTATGTTATTCACTTGAGAAATGGTTATATTTTGCACTTATATTTGTAGAATTCCAAATTGAACTGCATTGTTTTCCATGATTGGTAAAGGAAATCTTTGGGAATGGTTCTCAAAGAAAAGAAAGGCAATTCTAAAAATAAAATTCTCATAAATGACTTTTATAAGTCCGAAAGGACGGTTGGACGTCTCGTATTCAAAATACTAGGTAGTTTTGATAAACATGAAGTATTGAGTTGGAAACTCAAAATTGTCAATGCTTGACAACCAACATATCTTTTTGCTTTATACGTTGGTGAGTACAACTCATTGATGTATTAATTCAAGTACGAATTAAAAGAAAAGATGGAATTTTGTTATATGACGCATTAGATGCTTAATTAATCCTAACAAATTATAAAAGTCAAAGACTCTTAAAGAAATGATTCTGTAAGATTATAAGATAAAGTATGATAAGAATTATAAGAATCCAAGAACAAAGAAAAGGATTAAGATTCCATATCTGCTAAAGAGTTCATGTTATTCTAAATAACTTAGCAAGTTATTATCTTCACAAGTATCAGATACTGCTTGAGTGTTCCACTTTGAAAGTGACCTCAAACTATTGAAGATAAGCTAAGCTATTGACTTACTAGATTAGAATGTAGCAAGGGGTGTTACATCAGTTGTAAAGTCGTATGCTTTGTTTATAAAGACCTTTTTAAGCTAAGGCTAGAACAAATAAATGATTATTATGTTCCATAATCAGCAAACAATCCATTAACACACGGAAAGACTCACATTCAAAGTAAAGAGCAATAGTTGCGAATTTATTTAAATGGCATGGTTGTCTAAACCATGAGTCAAGAATTCTTGATTATAAACAATCATTTCCCTAACATGAAAACTCGCAGAAGTTCAAATCATAGCCATGATTTATGTTCTGGATATCTTTAGCAATTTCACATTAACAAGAACGTACTCAAGGCTATATGGGCTCTTGACAGTTGATCAATTCGGAATCGTTCTAAGACAAGAAAGTCTTACTTGTTAAAAATTAAACCGACAAAGTAAAGAGCTATTGTTCTTGGTATAGACAATTGATGTGGACAAAATTTCCCTTGAATAGTTCAAGAGTTCAATGAAGTACAGAATCCACTTGTCAAGATATCAAAACGTCTAGATTAAATCGAGCGATGTTTGCTTGAGCCAAGCGTGTCCATCACATAGTTATGAAATTGAAATTTTCATAAATAACTCCACAAAGAACATAGTGTGTCTTCACGGAGACCTCGATGCCATTTAAAAATGACTGGAATAATGATGGATCACACCCCTTCCTATAAAGTTCTTAAATATTTGCACAAAGGACTAATGTTACACTAAACAAAATGTTAGAGCTAAGAAAGGACACCATATTCAGTTATGGATAGAATTAACTTCTAAATGTTTTTTCAAGTATATGTCTAAAACTCTTAGCCACAGTGGGAGTTCACTGGCTCAGTAGGAGCTAAGTGACTCAATGGGAGCTCACCGGCTTAGCAAGAGCTAGGTGGTTCAGTGGGAGCTTAATGGCTCCGTAAAGGCTAAGATAGCTCAAGTGGGAGCTAACTGTTTGTTTCACAACGAACTTTTACCCAAAGACAATATAATTGTCTCTTTGTAAGCTTTTAAGTGAGACTGCAGACATTACCTCCACAACCTAAATGAGAACATAATATTTGTTTCTCTAAGTGGTGTCTTTCTGGAAAGTAACTCATTTCCAAAACGAAAAGTGGGAGGAAATTAAAATGAACTCGATGACCATCGAGATTAGCAACAATCTAAACCTGAGAATCTCGAAAATCCTTAAAAGGGCTTTGTAAGAATACTTGATCAAGAATACTCAAATGGACTTTATAAGTTCCTCAAAAGAGAATTCATTACTCACAAAACTTTTTAAAAGTTGGAGTAAGATCAAGATAATCAAAGGGCTTTGGAAGCGCCTTGAAACTCAGTGTTTGATGCAATAACCCCGTATAGGTATAGAATTCACCAAAGTCTTGGATTGAATCCTATAAATTTTCTATTAAGTTAGAAATAAACCTAAGACTCACAAGCATATTATTTACTATTACATAGTAAGGGAATAATGCCTCGTAAGATAGCTACGACAAATCCAAATTCTAAATAACGGTTAGAGGCCATAAGATCCGAAATAGACTCCATATTTTAAAATCATGTTTAAAACTTGATTAATTTGCATGAGGGGTGAAAGACTGATATGTCCATTTTATATAGTGTTTTACCCCCGTCCCTTGGTCGTTATTAGTAGTGTTTCTGGCTCTTTCGGGCCACTTTTATTACTAATTTGTGTGTTCTAGTGTTTTTGTAGTTTTAGCCGTATTTTACAGGAAATTGCACTCTTAGAGCATTTTCTCGGGCTTTATGGATCAACTACGGAAGCTAGAAGGACGTGACCACTTTTGGAGCCCACGATCGGTGAGAGCCGGTGATTAAGGGCTCGGTAATTGGGATCCCGAGGCATTTGGACCAAGTACTCAAGACCCGAGGAGGAAATCCGGATTGGGCCGAGAAATCAAGCCCAATCAAAGTCCAAGCTCAAGGAGAAGCAACCGCCCGATCGGGCTACCTCTAGCACGATCGGACGCAACAAGGCTTGTTGCTGAGCGTGCTAAGGCGCGCCCGATCGTGCGAGCCTCTAGCACGATCGGGCGATGCTGCTTGGGAAGAACGCGAAGAAAAAGGCGCGCCCGATCGGGCGCGCGTTTTTAGAAGACCGGATTAAGTTAGTTTTGATTTTTGTTTTGGGAGACGTTTAAGTACGATTTTGTACGGAATTTTTGGCTTACCTTCCTTCTTAGACTTTCTCTCTCTACTTAGTATTTTTCTCTCTCTTAAATTCTCTCTCAACTTTTGTTCTTAATTATTTCATTAATTCCAGATTTCTTTTTGGTAACAATTTCTTCTCTTTTAATTTCAGCTATTTTACTTGCTTCTTTGATTATGCCTTTATTTGATTATTTGATTAGTTTAGTTATGATGATGCGTGAGTAGTTTCATTCTAGGGTTTATGGGGATCCATAATTAATATAAAGGGATAGTTTGTTAATATTGAT